GGCATTTAGACATTCATCTATATTTTACAGAAAGAGGTCGAGGCTTTTGCAAAATAATTATAGTAGTAGTAATATCTTGCCTCCACCCACGAATATTTTTATCCGAAAGAGATGCTGCATTACACTGGTGCATCTTAATTTCATTTTTAAGCTTAGGAAACCAGCAGACCCCATCCCCCTCCCACATGTGAGGTACTGGTTCCAATTCTTTTAAATTTTGTATATATACTATCTTAAAAAAGTGACTGCCCATTTTTTAAGGAGAAAACAAAAACTAAAATATAGTTGCACAAATCCACAAATCACTGATACGCAAAGTGAGGTTACGTGGCGCACGTTGGAATTATATACGTCATAATACGATTGCCGGTCGTCCGGTTTGATGACTTCGGTCGTGTGAGACGACTAATGTTGGAAACCCGGTCGGAATTGGTATATTAGTAGTTCATATTAAGTCGGACACAGAAATCCGCTATTCTTAACAAGTATCCGATTGTCAGCCATTTTAAAATCGTTTTTTGTTTTTAAAATTTATATTCACATTCCGATTTCTAGTAGAATAATATTGATAAGGTTGATTTTGGGGGGAACCACAGTACAGTTTTATGATTAAACCAGCTAGAAAATAAAAAAAATATATTTTGCGAGTTACTTTTTTATAGATATTTTTATTTCATAAATCTACCTAATTTTGAAGGCACTCGTTGTTTTCCGGAGTATTTTAATCAGATATATCAAAAAAGTGACTTCCGTTGACAAAACTGATGTCTTGATTAATGATTCAGAATTATTATAATATAAAATTAGGTAGGCACTTATAGTTATATTCAAGGAGTTATTATGAAGCCATTTGTAATTAGGTAGTTTGGTTAGGTCTTTATGTATTCTTGGTAGCGAATATGAAACCAAACGTAACGTAAGTGCTTAGCGACGAATGTTAAGTAACTAAAATCCAACGTAATATGACGTTGGTAATTGGTAGAATTACATTCCCTATTAGGTCAGATACCGACGTCGAGGCGACCCGAATCTGTATTCCCCATTTAGGTGCAAATAACGGTCGTCAGGCGGTCGAACCGACGTTGGTACCCGACGTCGGGTTTATTGAACGCGACGTGTACCCGACGTTAGATAACGTCCAAATGCTACTTTGGTTTGGATTTATAGCAAATGTTTTTTTTTTACTGCTATCGATGAAAAAGTTTTACATCTGTAATCAAAAAAATCTTTTAACTCTTACACCTGTAATCAAAAACAGTACAGATATAAGCAAAAACAATTATGTAAAAATGACAACAAAGAGAAACAAATATAATTATTTTACCTAGTATTCTGATTGTCAGTCAATAAGATAATGAAAACTTGATTGTAAATCAAGATTAAATTCACAGATTGCAATTTCTTTTCCCATACAGCCACGGTACGTACTATGTACGTACCTGGTACGTAATGTTGGGACGAGTCAGGTCCCTGGTACGTACAAGTATGTAGGAGGACGCACATTTTCCAACGCTCTGTACGTCCCCGGTACGTCACTGGGACGTGGCAATGTACGTACTATGTACGTCGTATGTACGTACATTCCAGGTACGTACATTTTATGTTTTGTTCCGGACCCAAACAGGACGTAAAATGATCGAAAGTACGTACAATGTACGTACTATGGTCGTACAATGTACGTACTATGGACGTACATTTTTCAACGACGTATACGACCTAGGAATTTAATTAGAATTATTTAGTAAACTTTGCCTTAATGCACGTCCAGTCAAGTTCTTTCCGCTCATTTTAATAATACCGGAATGGGTTGCTATACTCAAATGACTTGTTTTGATGCCCTCTACTACCCCTTTCAGTTTGTCGCACTAATTGTGGGACCTCCCCCCCCCTATATTTCTATTTAAGCTAATGACAAACGATGTTAGTTATCATAAAAAGCTAATATTTTAGCTAACAATCATAATATACAGGGTGTTTCAAAACAAATGCGAAAAACTTTAGGGGGTGATTCCTTGTTCAAAATAAAGGGCAGCTTGCTTTATAAACGTTGGGTCAAAAGTCAACCATTAGGGAGATATCGCGGTACAAAGATGGCGGAAAAATAATGTTTTTATTTTTTATTTTGAAAACAAAAAGAGATAGACTAATGAAATTTTATGGAAGCATTACTGTTATGAAAACACACTTTCTGGTAATTTTTCACTCTTTTAAAATGAGTGGAAGGGTTGAAATAAACTACCCCTATCATTTTGTTAACGAAATTTAAAGAAAAATCTTATCAAACACATGCAAAAATTAATTTGGATAGTTTAGTTTGTTTAGAAACTTTTTATCTCTTGTGTTTTTTTGATAAAACTCACCGATTTGAAATAAAAAATAAAATGTAAAGCATTACATGTCAGGACAAAAAACATTTTTAGATTAAGAATCTAGTGATAATAACGATAATAATAATCATCTAGATAATAACGTATTGCAGTAGAGTAATGTCAAATAAAATAATATTAGGAACATCCTAAAAAGTAACAGCGGCCGACTAGATATTTTCCTAAAAAAATTACAGCAGCCCACTAGATTCTTTATCAGAAAATGTATTTTGTGATAAACATTTACATTTTATTTTTTAATTTCAAATCGGTGAGTTTTATCAAAAAAAATACAAGAGATAAAAAAGTTTCTAAACAAACTAAACTATCCAAATTAATTTTTTTGCATGTGTTTGATAAGATTTTTCTTTAAATTTCGTTAACAAGAATGATAGGGGTAGTTTATTTCAACCCCTTCCACTCATTTTAAAAAAGTGAAAAAATTACCAGAAAGTGTGTTTTCATAACAGTAATGCTTCCGTAAAATTTTATTAGTCTATCTCTTTTCGTTTTCAAGATAAAAAATAAAAACATTATTTTTCCACCATCTTTGTACCGCGATATCTCCCTAATGGTTGACTTTTGACCCAACGTTTATGAAGCAAACTACCCTTTATTTTGAACAAGGAATCACCCCCTGAAGTTTTTCGCATTTGTTTTGAAACACCCTGTATATTGCACTTAATAACTATAATTCTGATGTAAAATATTGATTTTGTATAAATATATGAAATAATATAGTGAAAAATAGCACTTTTTATAGTAGTTCACGACAATATTAGTTCATATTGTATCAAGAAATTGTAATTTTCTAATATTTCGTCTAATAATCACCATAATAGCTATAATTCTGGTATAAAATAGATATACAAGGTGAGTCTTTGCAGGGCAACTATTTTTAGAGGTAGCATATTTCGAGCTCAGGAACACAATTAGGAGGTTTTTCGCGAAAAAAAATTATAAATTAGGAATTTTTTGAAAGATCGAGGATAAAGAGAATAGAGAAAATATGCTCCTTTCATCAATATTTACCAGCCCTGAAAATATTTGCACTTATCGAAGACTCACCCTGTATATGAAGAAATATATGGAATAATGTAGTATAAAATATCAATTTGTGGTATTCTTTCGGCACAGATTATCCTAAGGAGATCGCAACCAAAAGGAAATTATTTTATTATTGAATAATCGGAAAAAGTTTATGAAAAATCAGCTCAATAACAAGATACCTATCTTTTATTCCATTCGCTTTGTTAAATTTGATTTATACAATAAAAATGTAATTTTTTAAATAGTCCCTGTATACTTTAAAATTGCCATGTTGGCAATATTTTTATGTGACATTTTCGATATGTCGTCGTACAATAAAAATGATTATTTTAATTTCAGAGTTGTTATATCCAAATTATTTTATTATACAGAATCCATACGTACATTCTTTTGATAACTCAACAATTAAAAATCCAGTTGAGGGTTGGAACCTTTGGTGTTACACAGCAAAATAAAATCACTAAATCACTACAATACACACAAAACACAGCAGATGATTATAAACTCAGTTTATAATCATCTGCTGATGATGCTAACATGGTTAGCGAAACGCGCGTCCAGTGTAAAAGTAAAAGTGTTTTGGTGTGTTGTGGTGATTTAGTGTTTTTATTTGGCAATTAAAAATCCAATACGGATTTTTTTTTGAACATTGTTCTTATCTAACTAAGTAAAAATGAATACTAGCAAAGACTTTATTGAAAATTCATTATATTCAAAATTAAATTTTAACAAAATTAGCAAGATTTTAATTAAGTCCATTTTCTGTTCGAAGTAGATAAAATTCCAGCGATTTTATAAAAATCAGGTGGAAAATTCGAAGCAAACGGAAGTAAAATAAAGAACTAATAATACACAAAGCTCTAAAATGGTGGTATTTTCCAAGCAATTTTATCTATTCTGTTTTAATACGAATTTATTGATAATTCCTTATTTCCCTTTTCTACCTTTTTTATATTTCATTACTTTCGTTGTTGATTTTTCTGTACTTCTGCTTCCATTTCAAAAGTTTAATATTTATAATTATTGCCCAAAAGTGACAGGTTTTTTGTAAATTAATTAATTATTTTTATAATTCGGTATTATTTTTTAAAGAACATGATCGAAAAAATGGCGTCCAGTTGGCTCAGAAATGACGGCCGATGACAGCGATCTTCATTTCATAGCCATCGCTGCCGCCGTTTTTTTTTCGATCATACGGTATATAATGAATGTCTAAACATTAAGCTTTAACCGATAAAGTGTGGAACACAATTCTTAACAAAAAACTCTCAGTGACTTAAACTTCTATACGTTATGTTTGAGCACTACTATAAGTTAATTAAGCAAGCTATAGTTGGTTGTATGAAAATTTAAGTATTATTATTTAAAGCATATATGGAAATGTGTAATTTGTTTATGTGCAAAATATCTTTAGAGATACATATTTAGTTAATTAAAAGCTCATAAATTATATCAATATGCAATCAAAAGCAAACAGAATAATCACAAAACAAAAAAAAATTCACAGAATTTATTAAAACAACAATGTTAAGGCTTAGATCAAGAAGAAAAGCTTGCTACACTACAAACTAAAAACCAACTCACATTCGCGAAATAACAAAAAATGGTACGTCACAACGATGAAGAACTATTGAAGTTAAGGCATGTTTTTCACAGCATTCACACTTTTTGGTTCCGCTTTCAACAAAACTACAAACGGAAAATTACCTTCGTAGATAAATTTTTGAAAAATAAAATAGTAATTAAATATTAAATTACACAGGCTATATCAGATCAGAATACACGATATGTAACTTCATGAGTTTAATTCTTCCTTAACTATAATTTTAGAAAAATAATAATCATATAATAAATAATACAGGATATTTTAATGACACAAGAAAATCAAAATGACTTTTGGGCGTGAAGATGAGGAACTGAAAGAGGTAATGTATTTTCAACCTTATAGTATTAAGATAATTGGTGTCATTCTATTCAATGCCGAAAAGAAGTAAGTAGCATTTGAACTAGCTAAATTCAATCTGCACTCTTATAAGTCACACCTCGGCTTAAAAATCTCATTATATTCCTGTGGAAATCAACGAAACATAAAAATTGCATTTTGAAAATTTTCTGTAATGTCGTCATCATTTTCAGCCAAACCAACCATTTCTAATTATGGTGTAGCCTGCCTCACATATTTAGACCTCTCTTTTTAGTTGCTTGCACATGCTTGTCTATTGTTGGGGATCTCAGGTTTGGTCTTCTTCTAGGGCTCTTAATTCCTCGTGGGTACCATGCTGTAATATTTGGTCCATCTGTTGTTCGTCCTTCTTGCCAGTCGATTTGCCATGAAATTGCCACTGCCCATTGAGGAATTAATTCCGTGGATGACATCTATTACGTGGGTTTTTATCGTATCCAGTCTATCCTTTTACGGTATTTTTGGTTATTCCCAGCATATTCCATTCCATTGGCCGCTGTGCGACCTGCAGTTTCCTTACAATGTCCAGGTTTCGCATGCATAAGTCATGACTGGTACTACTTACACTAGTACACCATGTAGTACACATTAGGCTAAGAACATAGTGAAGCGACGAGGCTAGCGGTGAGCAACCAGCGCGACATCACGTCCAAAACAAACCTGTGAAGACAAGTACGTGCGAACATAGTAAAGCGATCTGCTTGAGGGGTTAGATCGAGCGGCGAGATCGATTCAAATAATTTTGTTTTCGACGCTCTGTCGCGCTGTAGAAAATGATAGATTCCCAAAAATTAATAGATTTAGTATTTGTAAGAGAGATTTTATGGGATCAGAAAGATAGTAATCACCATAACCGGTAAATTTTAGATAAGTTATGAGATGAAGTGGCAAACAATTTTCGTAAAGGTTATAAAACTTGCCACACTTTCTCCGGTTTTTGAAAATTTCATCTAACCAAATGTTTGCGACACTACTGTCCAGAATTTTAGCCACTTTTAACACTTTAAATTATCAATAAGCAAATGAAAATAATAAATTTGCACAAGTATCTCGCTATTCCTCGCCGCTCTACTATGTTTTAGCATCTCGAGGCTTGCTCGACGTGGTATCCCGCTGCTTGCTCGCCGCTATCCTCGTCGCTCCACTATGCTCTTAGCCTTAAGGGGCGTCCAGACCAGATGAGCGAGCAGGAGCGGCAAGAATTCGGGTATGTTCTAGGGGAACGCTTAACTGATGTGGACGGCTCTGCGAGCGAGCGAATGATTGCTTGATCACGCTCGATGCTGTTCCACGCCGTGTCGGTACATCAAAGAAAATTCGCGCATTTGCACGTTCGGTTTGGACGGGATTTTGTTTACCACGTTTGCGATCGAATATCAAAAATGGAATAGCCGAATGAAGTTGTTTTAGAATTAACAGAGGAGTACAAAAATCGCCAAGACCCGTAAGGTTATAGCTAACCTTTTGTTATGATTTTTTATGAGTACCTTGTTTATATAGTGTATTGTTATGATTAACAAATTATGGTTTATGTATTATGTCAGATTGTATTATTCATAATGCATGGTTTTTAAGACAGAGGCGATAGAATGTTACGGGAGATAAGATTGGGAGTGAGGCGTCCGCAGCAGTCAGTCGGTACCGTGCGCTCGCACGATATACGTGTTTGTGTCGTAATCTTAAGTACTAAAATGTAATAAAGAAGTTATGAGGGAAATCCAGTGTTTTATTTGAAAATACAAGATCTATTGTTACATATCAGAAGTGGGATAGAACTACTAGAAGTACCACAAGAGTTTAAAAAGTGCCAATATGCTATGTTGTGTGTGAATCCATAAGTTAAGTTGCTGGAAAAGGACATAAAGCCATAAAGTAACAAGCCAGCAATGTTAGTGAATAAAAAGGATAATAGTACATACAGGAACATTTGGAAATTGGCTTATCCACTCCTACTTCAAAAATGGGAAAAGACAAGGCTGTTACGATGTGCAAGGTGCAAACTGCAAGTTATGTTTGCTAAAATAAGTCTTTTGATTGACCATGTTGACATAAACACTAAAGCAGTGAGAAAATATAGCTTCAGAGGATACATTCGAATAAGATAAGTACACAGATATCAATTAATTGTTAATTTATGTTTCATAGTTACGAATATAAAATTTTTAGTTGCTTGTTTATGATTTTAAAGACGTTATTGAAATTAATATTCCAATAAATTGAATTTGTAAAAGAATCAAATAAAATAAAAGGTTCAGATCAATTAATGATAGTGATATCAATATAGGGCAGCCTGTATAACAAAAAAATGTTTTAACTAAAATTAAAAACAAGCATCTTTTGCATAATCTCTTTGCAAATTTGATACAAGCAAAATCAAATGTTTAATGTCTAAATTATTTAAATTGATTTTGTAAAGGCTATTCATTTCTAGTGAATAAAATTAAACAATATGAAGGTTTAAAATATCACCAAGGTTTAAATTTACACTGTGAACAAATAATCGCAAAAATAAATCTCTACAAACATTATAGACCGATATAGTCTAAAAATAGTTATTGTTTTAATAAAGTTTATGATTCAAAAATTATTTCTCTGTTTCTTATAAAGATATAACGTTCTTTTTAAAATAATTAAGGACTAATTATTATTTTCAGGACGGTCTTGAAAATAGTCTGTTAATAGAAATAAAAGGAGTTACACAATATGTTTCAAAAAAATATATGGTGATAATTGATAACAGAAAATGTTCGTACACAGGTCGATAAACACACAGAGTTTTTTACATAACACAATAATATTTGTTTGGATTTGTAAAAAGAAATTAGTATGCACAAAAAATTGTTTTGTATGTTTAACAATTTATACAGAGGAGTTTAAAAGAAACCATTTAATTAATTTCGTGTTGTGTTGATTATATTTTATGTTATGGTTTTAGTAAAGCCCTTCAGGATTTTACCAGAAGATAGAGTGTCGGAGGAATAAAAAGTTTAAATAATTACTTTTGTTCGGCCTCAAAAAAAAATAAATAAATAAAAAGAAATAGGAAGTTTGAAATACCAAAAGCTGTAACTTCAGACAATAACAATTAAAAAAAATAAAGTTTATCAATATAAGAAATCAGACTGTTTTGCAACAAAAATAAAATAAATTAGCATTGAACGCAATGTCAAATGCAATGTCCTCACAACATTCTACTTCCTAAAAAAAATATTTATTCTGAATGTTCTCTTTGGAAACAGTATATGATTTCACTTTTTGAATGATTATTATTTTGTTCCATGATTTATTCGCTAATCTCTTTTATTGAAATCTGTTTTAGTGACATGTCAGACATACTTGAAGTGCTTCATGAATTATAAAATTATAAATGAATTGGGAGATATTATCAAGATTCTAGAACCCTAGAGAGAGCAAGGTGTCTCTTTTGGTAGCACAGCCGAGTATAGTCATTTACAGATGATAAGTTTGCTGAGCGATTTGGAATATGAAGTTTAGAAGAATATGAAGTATCTGTTTCTTTTATATAGAAACAAATTGAGCAACTACCTAATACTTATATAGTTGGAACTTGATTTCAACCATCATATGTATCCTTTCAAGTCATCACACCATTATTCACTCTGTACTATTTATTTAACAAAATTTTTAATGCATTTAAAAAAAATCGAATTTAATTAAATTAAAATATAATTTCCAATCTGTAGTGTTCATCAATACTAAAGTATCAGAAAAAAACAAAATAATAATTTATGTTTATTACTTATGAATAGCAGTTAGGTACAGATATCAATTTCATTGCCTCCAGCTTTCATGGAATGTTGCAAACCAAACCAAACCAAACCAAACCAAACTCAATAATTTCTTATTAAAAACAATTGAGTAAATATCATTTCCTATTTAACCACAACAGAGTTCAAGCAAAAACACTCAAATTGCACCCTGTATGTTTACAGGATAAAATTTTCTTTTTAATTGAAAATACCAAGAATTAAATATGACTAAGTACTTGTTAAACAAAGAGGATCAGAATATCATCAATATTTCTAATATTTCTATATTTTGTTTTAAAGACAACTGCGATAGTTTAATAAAATGTTCGAAGCATATTGATAAAAACTAAAGTTCTTTGGTAAAAAAAATAACTTAAATTATGGTTTATGTATTATGTCAGATTGTATTATTCATAATGCATGGTTTTTATGACAGAGGCGATAGAATGTTACGGGAGATAAGATTGGGAGTGAGGCGTCCGCAGCAGTCAGTCGGTACCGTGCGCTCGCACGATATACATGTTTGTGTCGTAATCTTAAGTACTAAAATGTAATAAAGAAGTTATGAGGGAAATCCAGTGTTTTATTTGAAAATACAAGATCTATTGTTACACTTCCTCTAGGTGAAATTGCTTTTCGGTAATTGGTATCACTTTTCATTATTTTTATGTCAATTAAATCTAATAAGGTATTAAAATCTGTAAGTGACATCCGACAAAAGTTCTTAAATTTTCCAGAATCTTCTGTTTCAACATAGTTTGGTTTAGTAAATTGTTACCACCATGAGAAACTCGATTTTTAAAAAGAGTTATGTTCCACCATCTCCTCTGCAATCGTTTTCTCTTTTGACGTTTTAACAATTTATAAAATACAATGAAAGACGCACAAGCAATCATTTTTTCCGGCATTGTGTGGCACTTCATATTCATAAGTGCCACACACCGATCAACGCCAAACATACAAATAATCGCTAGGTCTGGACGGAAGCTGATCATGTGCTCGAGAGCAGCAGAAATCACGAGCGAATTTGAATAAATGTTTGCTCGCGCTCGTTACTGCTCGCTCATCTGGTCTGGACGCCCCCTTAAGACGAATGTTTTCTTCTTTAGATAAAGTTGCATTCTAGATTTGAATACGATTGAGTTTTTCCATACATCCTACATGCTAACTTAATTCTTTTGTTGATTTCTGGTAGTAGAGATCGCGAGCTGTGTATTAGTTGTCCCAAATATATTCTCCTACTATTTCCAGTGTTTGAATGTTCATTATTAGAATGTCTTTTCTGTCTACTAGTTCATTATACATTACTTTAGTTTTTGCTAAATTCATTTTGAGGCCTACTTTATTGATGGCTGCATTTAGTTCATTAATTTGTGCTTGTAGTTCTTCGGAACTATTGGCAATTAGGACTATGTCATCAGCGAATCTTAGATGGTTAAGATATTCTCCATGTATTTTTAATCCCTTGGTGGTCCAGTCCAGTTGGCGGAAGATTTCCTCTAGTGTTTCTGTAAACAGTTTTGGGAATATCGCGTCTCCCTGTCATACTCCTTTGCCAGTTGGTAACTTTGGGGTTGTTTTATATATCATTACTCTAGCTTTGGCCTCTTTCTTTATATTGGCGACAATTTCTATATAAGGACTGTCAATACCTTGTTTCGCTAGGGCTTCTATTATTGCTTTAGGATATAATTGAAAGCCTTCTCAAAGCCTATAAAGGCCATGGCTAGTGAAAGTTCGTATTCTTTTGTTCAGCTTATAGTTTCTCTTAGTATGTGATCAATCATGAAGTATGTGATCAGTCTTGCTGAAGATGCTTCTAAAGCCTCCTTGTTCTCGTGGTTATGCAGCGACTAGTTTTACTGTTACTTAGTATTTCTGTGAATACCTTGTATGTGTACTATGCACCTACTGGTAGCAGGCCTATGAATCTACAGTTTCTCTTGTGCAATGTAGCCTCATATATTTCGGATAATTATTAAGAAATATAATTAGGTAGAAATGTTTTTGGAAAATATATTCTGATCCATAAAACTCTGTATAATAAAATTTAAATAATTCCCATACCTATGTATTTCTTACACAAACAAAAATTGTATTCTAAACAAATAGAACAATGGCGTTTCTAGGTACATAAAATATTATAACATACCTCTGTCTCCAGTTTCTTGTACTGCCCGATCTCTTGTATTGAAATTTCGATTCAGATTCCCTCATTGACCTTTGATATTTTTTCATTTTCACCCAGGATCTTCCTGCAGTGTCATAACAACACCACACAGTTATTAATACTGATAATAAGATGCACCAGTTGAACACCACCATTGCTAATGAAAGTAAAAATACATTAAGTGTTAATGTTTCTAAATGATCTATACAGGGTGTCCCAGAAATAATTGTAAGTATTTTAAGGGGTGATAGATCTCGATAAAAGAAACATATTTTCTCTTTATCGTCTTTTAAATAAGTCCAAAATAACGGAGTTATTTCACTTTGAAAATTTCACAAAAAAATATTTTTTGTTAAAATTTTGAGAACCACTGGATCTTTTCGGATTTTCTTTCTTGTAAATTTAATCTACTACCATATTATCAAGAAACTATGTTTTTTAAATAAACTCTAAAAAAATTTCCAAAATTTTTTTCAAAAAATTCGAATTTTCAAAATTTTTTTGCGTGAAAAAAACCCATGGGCGTGTTTCTGGGGTTGAGCTATACTACCAGATAAATACTTGCACTTATTTTTGGGACACCCTGTATAAGGCGAGTCTTAAATAAATGCAAATATTTTTAGAAGTGGTATATTTCGATCTCAGAAACGGTGTTTTCATTTTTTGTGAAAATTTCTTAATATGTGAAAAAATTGGATTTTTTAACTTTCTAGTTAAAAAACACAATATCTTGATAATATGGGTAGTAATATATAATAATAGGTAGTAAATTAAATTTAGAGGAACAAAAGCCCCAAAACATCCAGTGGTTCTGAAAACCTAAGCAATTTCTTTATATTCAAAGTGAAATAACTGCGTTATTTTGGACTTATTTTAAAAACGGTAAAGAAAAAATTTGCTTCTTTTATCGAGATCTACCAGCCTTAAAAATATTTGCACACATTTAAGACTCACCCTCTATAGAAAAAGATGTTATACTAAACAGCTTTAAAAAATGCTCCTAAATTGATAGTGTTAAAAATGTTAATCTCTTATTTCCTATTACAATAATTATCTTTAGTTATCTGTTTTAGTTTTATTTCTGTTATATAAAGCGGTACTTTTTATAGTTTCTACATATCTCTTTATATTAATGCATCATTTATGTGTAAACCATAAAAATAATATAGAATTTTAAAAGAGCTGAATTTGTTTAATAAAGAAAAAATAGCTAAACTTATAAAAAAAGTAAAAGTTTATAACAAAGAAAGCAAACATTTTTGTTTCAAGCAGTAACAGTACTGTGAAGTACAACTTATCAAAATTACTAAATATCAAAGAAAATTAACGTAGAATGCATCTAAAGTATGATTCTGAAAGAATTAAGAAACCAATTAAAATATGAAAAAGCTTTCTGAGAAATTGTCTTTCATTATTGTTTAAAATTTTGAATATAAAAGAAATTAGAATAGATAAATAGCTGATTGTGTGTATTATTGATGTGTGTATGCTTATTAGAATATCTTATTAATTATTTAAATAGAAATTATTGTGTCATATACGACAATATACAGAGTGGTCCGAACTATATTCCGGAAACTTCAGCAGCATATTGTGCAGATAAAAATAAGTAAAAAAGTTCGTATAAATGTATGTTTTCTTAATAATTTCTGAAGTAATGTCAATATTTGGATTAAAATTGGTGTCTGGAAGTTTTTTGATATGAAAAATTTGATTTTGATGTGAATATGACTCTCTTGTAGAGGGCGCCATCTACATGTTTTTTAACTGGTTTGGAGAGTAATAACTTTTAGTCCGTACCTGTATAAAACTACTGAGTAAAAAAATATACATTTGTGACGTTTTTTACACAAAAAACGTTTCTTGGTAAAAATCGCTACGAGTAATGGTTCTTGAGATATTTGGAATCAAGATTATCAATACCTGTCATCATTGACATAAATTAAACATGTTTACTAAGTAGCTATTAGACTGAAATCATAAATTTGAAATGTTTTGTGCCAAAAGTTCAACAGAAACTATTTTATCATTTTTTCGAAGACAAATTTATGATTAATTTAAAAAAATAAAAAGTTTCCAAATTTATCATTTCAGTCAAATAACTATCTACTCAAAATGTTTATTTTTTGTCAATAATGACATGTATTGACTATTGCCATTCTAAACATCTTGAGAACGGTTGCTCGTAGCGATTTTTACCAAGAGACATTTTTTACGTAAAAAATCACAGAAATGTATATTTTTTCACTCAGTAGTTTTATACAGGTACAGACAAAAATTTATTACTTTTCAAAACATTTAAAACACATGTAGGTGGCGCCCTCTACAAGTAGGAGTCGTATTGGGATTAAAATCAAATTTCTTATGTCAAAAAACCCCCAGACACCAATTTTCATCGAAATATTGACGTTACTTCAGAAATTATTTGAAAAAAATCGAAATAAAAATGAAAATTGTACACCCTGTATCTCCGAAACTAAGCATTTTAGGACATACATTTATACGAACTTTTTTAGCAAAATAAAAACGCTAAATCGCCACAATACACCAAAACACTCGTCCAGTGTAAAAGTAAAAGTGTTTTGGTGTATTGTGGTGAATTAGTGTTTTTATTTTGCTGTGTAACACCAAAAGTTTCAACCCTCAACTGTAACGAACTTTTTTACTTATTTTTATCTGCACAATATGCTGCTGAAGTTTCCGGAATACAGTTCGGACCACTCTGTATATAACATTTTAAATTGCCTACTGAATATAATAATAGCATGAATGGTATAAATCCCATCTCGTATAATAATTCCATATTTGTTCTAAATACAGTACAGTCCTATTAATTCATTCATTAAAATGAAGTAATAAAGACAAATCACCTACTATCACCATTACCAGGGAAATCCAATATTTGGACAGTTCAAAATTTGCATGGAATTTCCTATGTTTTCAAAGACGAATTGAATATTTTTTACTTTTTGTTTGGTTTTTATGGGTTAAAAAAGCTTATTGCCAATTTGAAAAATTAATATTGAAGCAGTGTAAAATAAGTAATATTAAAAAAATAGTCCAAATAAAATTTGGATATGTCATAAAACTGTTCCTTTAATAATATTTAAATATTTTTTAAATAGTTTTTTACTTCCGGTGTTGGGGGTAGATAGACATCACAGACGGTCTAGTGTTAACTTACATAGAAGAGTATGCGGCCCGTCTAGCTGCTGGTAAACGGTGCGTTCCCTACTGTGCATTGAAAGAAATCCTATATTTTTATTAGTCCTTTAAATTCTAGTATTAAATATAAACCGACCGAATCTCCATAGCTCAGCGCGTAGAGATTCCGCCTATCAAGCGAGGAAACATATTTTCGTTTATAATCTGATAGTAAAGTATTCAATATTTGTTTTTTTTTGAATCACCAGAATTATTTAATACTTTACTATCAGAATATAATCGAAAAAAAAATAAAAAAGTTTTTGCCCTGACGCGGATTCGAACTCTGAATCCTCTGTTCGTAGTGAGAAATCGGAAACTCTACGCACTACGCTATGGAGACATGTTCGATTTACATTCAATACTAGAATTTATAGAACTAAATTAAAAAAAATATAGGATCTTCTTCCGATGCGTAGTAGTTAACGCAACGGGTATCGGCAGCCAGACGGGTCGCAGGCTGTTCCAGAGAGCATAGTAAAAGATATATCAAAGAGCCAGCTTTCTTAAAATACTTTCTATCTCTTAGACTATAAAGGTTCGGTTTCAAATAATTATATTTAAATTTTCATTAAATCTTAGATCAATAATATCAAACTTAATACATCTATTAAGTTGAGATTTCTTAGTTATTACAATGGCACAACTAGGAACATATTTTGACTTTATTGGCGTAACTTTGTTGGCGAATTCCATACAAATATACAGAATTTGCTAATTAACTAGTTGTGAATTATTAGAATTATACTATATCCGCTCGTGTTTTACCTAATACAGTCTCTTTAGCGTTGTCAACAGGGCAGTCGACATAATAATTCATCAACCAAGCTACTCCAGCTGAGAGCCAGCCAGCCTCGATGATCATCACAGCTGTAAATTAAAAAGTTATTTAGAACTTTGTAACAACAATTTTATTATCAATACTTTTTAAAATATAAAAAGGTTTTTGACTCTAAATAAAATATTTCTATTATTTAAACACACACCAATATTTAGTTTGTGTGTCCTGGGTCGATAAGCAGGGTTTCGCTTTAAAATCTCTTTTGAAATTCGAGATTTTAATGGACGGGAGATCAAATATTTGAACCCCATTTTATAAAAGTCAAGCCAGTACTTACTCAATCTCAAGCAGAGCCGCAGCTAACTGGAGATTGAGTAAATGGCTCAGATCCTACCAACCGGATGTACTATCCTTTGAAAGTAACCATCTCTTTATATTTAAATGAGATGGAATACTTATATTTGGTTCTTTATTACGAAATAATAAGAAAGGATAGCCTGCTTAAAGTTCTCTGAATAGAAAATAGTAATTCTTGTGCGAGGTTAAATACTTTAGGGTAATCGTCTATGCAAAACTCATCAAGAATTTTACAAAGAAAACTAAAAGCACTTTATTTCTCTTCCCAAGAGAGCATAGAAAAACATTGGGATATGTTCTAGGCTTGATGCATTCTCCGCCGGTGCTGCCATCGCCATTTCAATATTATTTTAATGCGATCGACATGACGCATGACGGCGCGCGGCGTGAACTATTTATTGCTAATTTCTGATTTCTGCCGTAGAGTGCGCTGCGGTCGGAATTTGTTGAAATTAACTGAAATGCACCAAGCCCATATAAATAAATTAAATTTAAAAGTTATTTAAACATTCCCCATTTAGAAATGCTAGCTAAAATTTCAATTTAATTCTTGAAGATTACTAAACAATTAAACCGCAAAGAATATTATGTGAAATTTCTAAAATAATACTTACATAGTCTTATATATAAAATATACTGCATTGAACTTCTTGGACCAGTATCCAGTATACTTCCTCTTAAAGCTACTATACACACGCATATTTCTATAATCATTGCAACTATTAATAGAGCTAAATATCCAACTACTAGACCCCATAAGAGCAGAACACATTGAACGCTGCGGTCGTACTTAACCAAAATTAGTACTAGTCCCAAAATTATTGTCCTGAAACAAAAATAATTAAATTAATTGCTATTGTAATAGTAAATAAAATAAATTTCCACAATAAGTAGTAAATAAAATGATAAAATAGTGTACCTAAATTAATATAAAGCGATACGAATTAAACTTTTAGGCGAAACTTTTTTTTTACCAATTAAACTATCGAGGGCGCGATTTTTAAATTACTACTAGGTAGACTAACTGGAATTTAAATTTCCAGCTGGGGATTCAGGTGGTTGTAAAAAATGTCATTCGTTATGACACTTTAGTTTAGTATTAAGAATTTTTGGGTCAAATTAATTGTGATGTGATACTTCAAGTTTAACAATTTTTGCTAGCAGACGTTGCAGTCGAATATTGTTCGTTTTAGAAACTCTTTTAGTGCGAAATGTACAAGATAGCTGAATAACCGTTGCAAAAAAACTCATCGCAACTTTATTAGAATATTTTGAACGGGTAAGTAGTAATGACCCTATATGACCATTAAGTGCTATTAAGGGGGTAATTTTTGTTGATGTAAAAATAAGATTTATTTTTCCTATCAACATAGGTCCGACTCTGCTTTGTTTCGTAGCTACCGGGTGTTAAAATCTTGAAAATCTTTCGATTTATTATAATTTTCTTCCAAGTACTTTTAGCGATTCCAATAAAACTTTGAGGGTAAAAGTTACTATATAAGTGCTACATGTTTTAATGCTAAGAAGTGTCGATAAATTCATCAGAGACGTGCATATGGGTTATCACTGGAATATTTTTCAATGAAAAAACATGTGCGCCACTAATACCACACATAATTTTAAAAAGTTTTAACATCCTGTAACTCTAAAACTATGCATTTCCATACCCATGTTTTCCATACCCAGTGTTTTATTTTGTAGTGTTTTATTTTACACATGTTTATAGGATTTTTTTTTATACCTATTTCTTGATGAGAGATCAATCAGTACCTACCTACTTGTTTAAAACTTTTGCAAATTAATGATATTAAACTTTTTAAAGGTTGCGATTAGACTTTGATCAAGGCAAATTAATGAAATTGCGTTTATCTCATCAAGGGGATCGAAAACGGCAAAACATCAAGAGACAACTTCTAATCGGTATTAAACTGCCTACACTGTTTCGCTAACAAAAGAAGGTCAGTGGCGTACATGCTTTTTTAGAAATAATATTCCAATAATAACCCATATGCGCGGTCCTGGTGTATATTTCGACACTTTTTTAGCTTTAAATTATGTCGCATTTATAAGTAACTTTTACCCTCAAAATTTCATTCCAAACGCTAAAAGTACTTGGAAGAAAATTAAAATAAATCGAAAAAATATTAAGACTTTAACACCCTGTAGCTACGAAACAAAGCAGAATCGAACCTATGTTAATACGAAAAATAAATATTATTTTTACGTGAGGAATCTCCCCACGAGGCACATGTTTTTAAACACCCTGTATATTTAAAATTAATGTATTTTTGTTTCCAAAAATATTTTGATTAATAGAAAATATGTAAAAGTGTGGCGGTCCAGCTTAATCACGTGACTAAAAGTTTATTTGGTATGTTTTAGTTTATATTATTTTTCAGTATCTATGTATTATTTTATTAATTTTAGTAATAATAAGTAAATGACCCTGCAACCTTAAAACCAAACTACTTATTTTTATTTTTCTATCTACATATTTTCGAAATATAAATATTTTACGAATAATTAACAAGGAAATTATTATTCAATATAACAATCTTTATCACGGATCCTTGTATTGTATAACGTAGACAACTATGACATGCGCCTTTTAGTAAACTTGCACTACGATCAAACTGCTGCTCTTAGGGTCGATGAAGGAACTACATAAATGACATCCCAGTAAAACGAGGAGTAAGACAGGGGGTGTGTTTTGTCACCGTTATTATTCAACTTGTATTCGGAGAACATTTTTAACCAGGCTTTATCCGGCAGAATAGAAGGCGTTAAAATTTGGAGGCGAGATCATAAATAACGTAAGGTACGCAGACGACACCGCCATTGTCGCAGAAAGCATGGAAGACTTGCAAACGTTGCTAGATAGGGTTCATGAAGCTAGTTGTAAATGGGGTATTAATATAAATATCAAGAGGACGAAATGGATGTTTGTGGGTAAAATACAAACCAATCCAATCCCGATAAAAATCAGCGGACACAATATTGAACAAGTACCACATTTTAGATATTTAGGAAGCTGGCTAAATAGTGAAAATACATGTGACGAAGAAGTAAAAGCAATAATTGAAATGGCACGTAGAACATTAAAATTGGAAAAAATGGAATACCACGCTTACTAATAGAAACCTGTCACTGCAAACCCGATTGCGAACACTACGTTGTTATATATGGTCCACTCTTCTGTACGGATGCGAGACATGGACGCTAAAAGTCGAGAATATAAATAAAATAGAAGCCTTTAAAATGTGGTGCTACCGGAGAATCCTTAAGATTTCTTGGACCGAAAATACAAGCCACGAGGAAGTTCTTGGACAGCTGAACAAAGATCGGGAACTGTTAACCACCATCAAGACCAGAAAGGTTAGCTACTTCGGACACATAATGCGTGGCACCAAATATTATATTCCTCGTTTGCGAACACTATTATGCGGGTTTATTCAAGGAAAAGTCGAAGGTAGAAGATGGGTAGGTCGAAAGAAACTATCATGGCTCAGAAATATACGGAATTGGACCGGTCTGGGGGGTGGAGAGGCTCTTTAATGCAGCAGAAGATAGAGAACTCTTCCACGAAATAGTCATGGAGATCGCCAACGCCTGAAGACAGGCACGGCACCGCAAGAAGAAAATCATGGATCTGTAATTATTTATCTACTTATTCAGTGGTAGCAAAAATTTGTAATTAAAAACAGCATAATCCGATTCCATTTATTTTTGAAATTATATTTCAGTATAGTTTAATTTTTTTCGACAAAAAATAAGAGAAAATTTAATAAAGCTAATGATATAAAAACAAAACTGTTTCAGTCGAGGAATCCAATTTCCTGTTAATTTTGCTTTTTTAATTAAATACTAAGAGAGCTAGAATGTTGAATACTTAACTGCAAAGCCAGTGGAATCGCATTTCCTTTATTGGGCCAATTATTATTTGAACTTTACGGTAATTTACATTTAATACCCTAATGCTTTAAAAGAATAAAATGGAATATGAAACTCATTAGATTTCGATATTTTGAGTGTTTGGTATTTAACTCAAAAATATAGAGCGTTATAAAAAAATATTAAATTACATATTAAGGAATTTTTATCATAATATTATACATTGTGATTCGCTTTTATTCAGAAGATAATTCCCATAAATAATAATCTCCTACAGGTAGGATTTTTAAACCAACTCATTTACACGTTAAAAGGTTATAATTTAAAAGTATGTAAATAACGTATAGGTACTACTCAAGATAAAAAAATGTTTATACCTATGTGGCGGATTCATCTCTTCAAAAAAATCCTATATAGGTATTTCGCCACTGCATTGCAAGAAAATCTACAAAATAAAATAGTTATTTGTTGTAAACACTTCTGCGTTAAACCTAAACGGACACTACTTGTCAGACGTTATGTTTACAGTTATACAAATTTGCCTAACAAAAACAGAACATAACATAAATAAACATAACATGCGTAAAATTTAAAAATAATCATACAGAAGGTTTGGGGCTTTTTAGTTTTCCCTTATTAAGTAATTGTTATCAGGTAGTAATTGTTAATTTTGAAGTTTAAATTGATATAATGTCATTTTAACAGAGCGTCAACGGTTTCTTGTAGACGTATCTGTTTTAAAAAAGTAAAGTGTTCTCGAATAGTTGAATTTAAATATTTTAAATAGTTTTTTTTTCTTTATTCTTTGTATTTTATTGCTTCCGACGACAGAAAGAGATAAACTTTCCGAAACGTTAAGCATTTTTTTCTTTGTTAGGCAAATTTGTATAACTGTAAACATAACTTCTGACAAGTAGTGTCCATTTAGGTTTAACGCAGAAGTGTACAAAGAATAACTATTTTATTTTGTAGATTTTCTTGCAGTGCAGTGGCGAAATACCAATATAGGATTTTTTTTGAAGAGAAGACATATTAACTCTAAAAACTTGGTTTGTATAAAACCAATTTATTAAGCATGTCACTTTTATTTACGTTTGAAAATATATTTGATCACTTCATGCAGACAACTGTGTAAACAAGTTCTAATCGATACGCTGAGATTTGCTCAAAGCTTCTTGTTCAGGTAGTTCAAATAAACCTGTAATTTAAAAGTTTACGTGTTCGCTGAGCGACAATAAGTTTGTACTCTAAACTATGATGATCAAATATACATAAAATATAGAAGAATGTTTCCTAAATTATCGTAGTAGCATTGTTTTCGGCAATAATTAGTTATTTTAATTTTATTGAGTAGAAAAGTGTTGCGGTGTTCAACCTGTTACGTGAAAATTTCTCTATTGCTATTTGAACATTTTCTTTATATAATATTTTTACTATGTCTTTGATTAATTGATTCTTTAAATAAAACTCTTTCATTACTAATAACTCCATAGAGTATATTGCGTTTAACTCCTTGGGAGTAGCAAGGTACAGCTTGCTATGCTAAAGCCGTTCGGTATACAAGGAAGGTAATGTGGCCAGCACTACGCTTCAACCACCCATTATTACCTCAGGATTGTGAATCCTAATAGTACGAGATGTAGCAACGTCGGAAAAACAAGTATTATAAGACGTCTGGCTCTTTGATATATTTTTTACTATACTCTCTAGAACAGCGTCTGGCTGCCGGTAAACGTTGCGTTCCCTACTGCTGCGCATTGAAAGAAGATCCTAAATCGAACATGTCTCCATAGCGTAGCGCGTAAAGTTTCCGACCACGAACCGAGGATTCAGAGTTTGAATCCGGGTCAGGGCAAAGACTTTTTTACTTTATTTTCGTTTATATTCTGATAGTAAAAAAAAGTATTAAATAAAACAAATATTTAATACTTTGCT